AAAAAACAATTATTATTATCATCATCATCATCATCATCATTATTATTATTATTATTATTATCACTACTTCTTTTTTTTCTTATTTCATTTAAGTCGACAAAAAAAAAAGAAAAAAAAATTAATTTATTTTTCTTTTGTTTCATTTTTTTTTTTCCATTCCAACAAATAAGGTTCAAGGACCAAAATATGAAAAAAATCTTTCATTTTCTCTCTCTCTCCCCTCCCCCTCTCTCTCTCCCCTCCCCCTCTCTCTTCCTTTCCTCTCGCTTCTCCGGTCTCTTTATGTCTCCTTCCTCTCTATTTTCTTGTCTCTCTTCTTCTCCTCTCTTTTCCGGTCTCTCTCTCTCTCTCTCTCTCTCTCTCTCTCTCTCATTCACTGCTTTTATTTAAAATCCACTTAAAAACTTAAAAATTAAAACAAAAAAAAAAAAAAGTAATGAAAAACACACTTAAAACATTTATTATTATTATTATTATTATTATTATTATTATTATTATTATTATTATCGTCATACTTTTTTTTCAATTTTTATTTAAATTTTCGCGCCAAAAAAAAATAATAAAAAATTTCATTTAACTTTATATTACATATTAAAAAAACAAAATTCTTATTATTATTATTATCATTTTGTTTGAATTATTTAAACGACTTTATATACGTATGTATATATATAAATATTTTTTTTCCATTGAAATTTTCCTTTTGTAAAGAAAAAAAAAAAAACAAAAGGAAATTTAAATTTACAAAAAAAAAAAAAGAATAAATTTTCCTTTTTTTCCTTTTTTTCCTTTTCGTAATTTTAATAATTTTCACACACGCACACACGCACACACGCATTCACGCTCGCACGCACGGAGTTATATTTCACGCAGAGTTTTTACCACTACTACCACCACTACTTATATTTAACTTACGAATAATTTTTCATTGTGTTACGTGTGTCGTGACGTAATCATACCGTGACGTAATTTATATTGTTTTTTAAAATTATTTTTTTTAATATTAAATTTAAAAAAAGAAAAGAAAAAAACAAAATAATTTTTTTTTTCACCGCCTTCTCGTTTCTTTTTTCATACCTATTTAATTATTATTATTATTATTATTATTATTATTATTATGAAAAAAAAACTTAATTTCCAGGTTAAAAAAAAAATAAAAATAAATCGCCGCCATTTTTTTTTTTTTTGAAAAGAAGAAAAGTAGTAGTGGTATTAGATAGATGATTAATTCTTTTTCCACGGTTTTCTTTTTTTTTTTTTTTTTTTTAATTATTGTTAAAACTTAAAAACGGATTTATCGTCCTCGTCGTCGTCGTTGATGATAATAATAATAATATTAATAATAATAATAATAAAAGCCAACGGCCATAGCGTGCTGGTCACACCGGTTCCCGTACGATCACCGAAGTTAAGCAGCATCGGGCGTGGTGCAAACTTGGATGGGTGACCGTCTGAGAACGCCACGTGCTGTTGGCTTAAAAGAGCAAAAAAAAAAAAAAAAAAAAAAATGAGAACAAGACAAAGTAAGAACCAAAAAACAAATCTTGTTCTACTGTCGACCTGAGGCAGCTCGACGAGAACGTGAATTTCACTGCTTCTGACCCTGGCCACTCCAAAGATGTTAGTCACTGGAGCCCAGTTCAGGAGACAAATCGTTCCCATCGAAAAAGACGGACTCAGGAAGACCTTCAAGAATTGATGTGGTGCTATCTTATAATAAGTGGCACCACCGAAATTCGAGTATTTGTCCCTAAGGAATCGGGTAGAAACCTCGGATAAATACTTAAAAACTCCGACAAGTAGCCTTGTCGTGTTTAATGGTGGATAATAATAATAATAATATTTTCTTTTTTTTCAATCGGAATTAATTGTTTAATTAAAAAAAAAGAAAAAAAAATTTTTATTTGAATTTTTTCAGTCGTACATAAAATTATATTACTTTCTTTTTCCCCCTCTCTCTCCCATCTCCTCCCCTCCCCTCTCCTTTACCCCCCTCTCTTTCTCTCTTTCACTTTCACTTTCTTTCTCCTGTGTTTGTTTGTATTTTTGTTTTTTTTTTTAATTACACGTAAATGTTTTTTCATTTTCGTTTTTAATTAATGAAACAAAGTTAAAAATGATAATAATAATAATAATAATAATAATAATAATAATTATTATTATTATTATTATTATTATTATTATTATTATTATTATTATTAACTCTTTTAACAAGTTAAACAAACATTTTAATTATTTTTTTTTATTTTTCTTTTTAGACGATTGTATGAATTGGTTTTCTTAATTTTTTTTTGTATCATTCATTGATTATTATTAATAATAATGATATTATTAATAATAATGATAATAATGACGTAAACGCAAAAAAAAAAACAAATGAAAATTAAATTTTATACAAGAGAGAGAGAGAGTTTCATGAGATGGTTAAAACTTTTGAAAGAAAAAAAAATTAATTAGAATAATAATGATGATGATGATGGTGGTGGCAGTGGGAGTGGTGATGGGGGGAGTGGTTTTGGTGTTGGTGAGGGGGGGAACTTGATATTATTATTAATTTATAAATTTTTTTCTTTCACGGATCTCAAAAAAAGAAAAGAAAAATTGATCGTTTGTTATCATATTGAAAAATAATCAATGATAAGAAAAACTTTTTTTTTAATTTTAAACCGGAAGTAGAAACAAAAGGAAAAGTTCACAAACTTTTCATTATTATTATTAATCATTATTA